ATTTTTTTTTCTTTACGAGAAATTGAATATTTGAAGGTAACTAAAAAAAAAAATAAATTATATGGGATCTTTGCTAGGAAAATCAAGTCACAAGACATATTAAATACAAATAATCTTTTTTTTTAAGATGTCATCAGGTAAAAAAAAAAAAGTAGTAGAAAAAAAGAAAAATGAATCTGGTAACAGACAACAAGGAGCTATGATGAAACTTTCAGAAGATGGCGGTGTTATATTTTCTTATGGTCATAATCAACAATACCAAAAATCTGAAACTGAAAATAAAGAAAAAAAGAAAAAACCAGTTAAACCAAAAAAGATTGAAGATTAAATAATTTTTCTTTCTTTTTTTTTTCTTAGAAACAAATCTCAATATTGTTGATATAATTTTCAAAGATATCAAAAAAACAACTAAAGAAAATTTAGAATCAAATAAATCTAAAGCTAAAGAAGATAAAGACAAAAAAGATAAAAAGAAAAATGTAGAAGAGTTTTCTTTTACTGAAAATGATAACAATAGTTTTTCATTCAAAAAAATTGAAAAATCTGAAAATGGAATTACATTCGCTCAATTTTCTAGCTATAGTTATTCTAAAGAATTGTAACTTTTTTTGTTTTATTTTATTATTCAATTATTCTAAATATTTTATTACTTATTAAATAAATTTATAAAAATTTTTATTCTAGTATAAATATAACTATCATTTATCTTATTCAATAAAAAAAATGAAAATTTTTTATTTGTTTATATATTTTATTATTTTTATATCGATTCTTCATCAATTAGAAACATATGCTTCTTGTTGTCAAAGATCTAATAAAATTACGTATAAAAATTCATATTCATCAAAGATCATACGAAGATGTAGCTGTTGTAAAAAAACAGGTCATAATATAAGAACTTGTAAAAATATATGTATATAAAAATATATAAATATATTGGTAGTAAAGAATATTTATTTTGAATTAATAAAATGAATAAAGACGAAATATTATATTATTATAAAGTTTTGAGATTAAATGAACGGGCAACTGATGGAGAAATTAAAAAAACTTATAGAAAATTGATTTTGATTTGGCATCCAGATAAAAATATCAATAATAAAGAGGAATCTGAAAAAAAGACAAAAGAGATCACTGAAGCATTTAGAATAATTACAGAATATAGAGAAAAATTTAAAAAAACAAAAGTTCCAAAATCAAAAAATACAAAACCGAAAAAAACAAACCCAAAACCAAGAAAACCAAGACAAACAAAATCAAAACAGACAAAACCAAAACAAACTAAATCTAAACAAGATAATCAAAAAAAATCTACAAAGACTGATCCAAATACAACAAAAGTAGAAGTTGATAAGGAGATATTAAATTTTCTTCGTGCATTTTTGAATTCATATCATGATTCAAAATAAATTTATAGTATAATAAATATTTGATAAATATAGAAAAATTAAATTTTATATTTTTATGTAAACTACAATCATTTTTAAAGCGTATTGTTTTTTTTTTTAGTATTGTAATTTAATATATTATCTTTATACTTTTATTTATTTATACGTGAAATTTTGCTTATTGATTTTTTACAAATAAAAAAAATGAGCAATAACGATAAAAAAACAATTGATGAGGAAACTGCACGCATCAAAAAATTATTACAAGATCAAGAAAATGAAATCAAAGAGCAAAAAGAAAAATATGAAGACTTGCTCAAATTGTTTGACAATGTGAAAAGTAATGCAACTAGTGTTATAACTGAAAAAGTACCTGAAATCTTGAAGAAGGCACTCGAAGATGCCAACATCGATGATGATGTGAAAAAAACAGTAACTGATAAATCCGAAGAAGTGATCAATAAATTAAATGAAAAGGTTAAAGGTGTTGGAGTAGAAGAAGAAACAAACGTGTTAAAAAACATTCAAAGAAAAAAAAAACCCATAAATACATAAATCTAAAAAAAAATATTATAGTTGAAATAATTTATATTACTGTACTTAAATTTTTATTTTTTATTATTTAATAAATTATATTTTTTATTTATACTTGAATTTAATTTATTCGTGAATATTTTTTATAAATAAAAAAAAATGAGTGATGAAAAAAAAGTACTTGATGAAGAAATTACATGTATCAAAAAACTTTTGAAAGAACAAGAAGAAGAAATTAATATTGAAAAACAAAAATATTATCAATTACTTGAATTATTTGATAATGTAAAAAAAAATGTAGTTGATGCTATAAAAGAACATTTATCTAAAACGTTAAACGAAACACTTAAAAATTTTAATGATGATATAAAAAAATTTATAATTGATATAAAAAATATTGATGAAATTGTAAAAACAAAAGCATATTATCCTAGTGATATTGATTTGTAAGTTTTATTTGAAATTAATTATAAAGAAAAAAAATAATAATATTTTATTTATTTAGGAATAATAAAATCAAAGAAAAAATTCTAGAAGCACTAAAAGATCCTAACTTGGATCAAGATGAAAAAAATGATCTTTTGAATTATAGTATATTTAACGCTGATAAATGGAAAGAAGAAAATTTTTTTAAATATTTTACTGATTTAGATACTTCAATTACACAAAATGCATTCAAAGATTAAAAAAAAAATTGTAATTTTGTTTTTTTTATAAAATAGTTAAATAAATATAAAAAGATTAATTTTAAAACAATCAATTACAACCTTTTATTTACACTTTAATTTATTTTTATGATTTATAATAAAAAAATGAGTAACGATAAAAAAACAATTGATGAAGAAACTATACGTATTAAAAAATTATTACAAGATCAAGAAAATGAAATCAAAGAGGCAAAGGACAATTATGAAAAGTTGCTCAAATTATTTGATAATGTGAAAAGTAACGCAGCTGGTGTTATTACTGAAAAAGTGCCTGATATCTTGAAGAAGGCACTCGAAGATGCCAATATCGATGATGATGTGAAAGAAACTGTAACTGATAAATTTGGAGAAGTGATCACTAAATTAAACGAAAAAGTTAAAGGTGTAGGAATCGAAGAAGAAACAAAAGTGCTAAAAAACATTCAAAG